TGGTGAACCATGCTAGCAAACGATGTATACAAAATATGGTGTAACGATATATCCTGAATATAGTGTAATAACATATCTTGAATATGATGTAACGAAAACACTGCATGAAAGTCATGATGAGAATTTCCAACCCTTATAACCACTGATCACCATCGACCACTACTCACTAGCCGTCATTGACCACCTGCAGCCACCCTTAGCATCATTGGTGAACTCTACTAAGTAAAGATGTATTTTGAATATGGTGTAACAGCGTATCCAGAATACGATGTAAATATCATCTATTGAATAATGTCGTATTAAAATCTTGGGGATAACTTATGCCCTCCGTAGCCACAAATAGCCATCGACCATTGCCCACCAATTGGCGCTGACCAGTGTTGCCGCCCTTAAATGTAGTTATTGATGAACTCTGCTTGCTAATAATGTATCTCATATATGGTGTAACAATATATTTATCTCTTATATGGTGTAACAATATATTTATAATACGATGTAACAACATATCCCAAATATGATATAACAAATAATGTTATTTTAAAATCCCGACAATAAATTCCGTCCTTCGTAATGTTCAATCACTTTTGACAACCACAAATAGGCATCGTCGACTACTGCCAACGGTCACCGTTGACCACCTCCAAACACTCTTGCTCATTGCTTTCAGCGAACTCTCATAGCAAATGAAGTATCATGAATATGTTGTAACGATCTATTTTGAATATGGTGTGACACCATATCTCAAATACGATATAAATGAATAACATCGTACTAAAGTTCCTGTGAAAAAATTCCGACGAATACTAGTTATGCCAACCACATTAAAAATACGATGACTTCTTCTATACTCTTGAAGTTTTCTATACATGTTATATCAATAAGTTTGCCTCAGGTGTCAAATAGTAAACCCGAGAGAATTGTAGTAGTTACCAACTACAATCTATTTGGCTAATTAATTGCTACTATAGCTATCAACCCATGTGGTCAGTTCTTACTACAACTACAAACTATGATCTATGCAGTTAATTTCTACTGCATTTATCAAATATGATCTATGTGACAAACTACGAACTATATGTTAACTACTATGACAACTACAAATTATGACTTACGTGGCTAATTGTTGCTATTGATTTTAACCACTATCTATGTGACCAACCGACGCTATTGCAACTATCAACTACAACCTATGAGGTTAATTGTCTTTACAACCTTCAGCTACGACCTTTGTGGCCAACTCTTGCAGCCACCGACTACATCATTTTCGGCAAACTGCCGCCTTTATAGCATTCAAATATGACCTGACTCACTATTAATATTATCGCCAAAAACCACATTCATTGTAGCACAATTGCGATCATTATAGCTAAATCACTATTGCACTTTAGTAATTATCAATATTGTAATTTCATCTTCTTTAATTTAGGAGAAGAGTATACTTGTGTATTTACAATCACATAGTGAATTAATTTGATTGGGCTAGACTTTCATGATTTTTTCATGTAATAAACTTTTGTGTTTCCTCCTATTACTTTTCTATTATCTGTATATATATTGGATTTTCGTACAACATTAAAACATTAAAGTTATCACTCTGTCGTCAAGAATTTTTTTGCACGAAAATCGGCGTGATAAATTTATACAAGAACAATTATATTTATCTTCTTTTTAGAAGTAGTTAGAGAGCCGTATTTATGATGCGATATTAAAGATTTGAATGCGATGCACGAGAAATATTAAAATCTAAGTATTAGATATGTAAATACATAAACATTATGAAATGCCCCTTATGTTACCAGATAAAGTCCAATTATAATTACTTTTAAATTAGTTTAATGTTAAATATATAAATGAGAAATAATAAATAGTTTTGATTCATAATATTTAATAGACATAAATAAAGGGAAAGAAAGAACATTTTTCATAATATACTCATTTTCACTAATTCCCTTTATTTTCTAGGACAATTTACATACATACCCCTTAATTCTTATGTATTTACATATTTAACCCCATAATTTTAATTTGTACATATGTGCCACTATCTATAATATGAAAAGGTTTATTTCAGTTTGTAGTATGATATGATTGATAAATTACATGATAAATATGTAAATTTATAAAAGATTGAGTGGTATTTTTGTAAATGCCCTTTTGGTTCTCATGTGCTGTAGCCGTCCTAACGCTTTGGGACCGAGTCTATGAAGAGAAAAGTGCTGAACCAAACCTGACGTTACGGTGGCACGAACAGGGAGCAGGACTGTGCCATGCACGTGGGAATAAAATATATGAACAAAATAACATAAGATGTCTATTAAATCATTTTTATTTATTAGGAAATTTGAAAATTATGAATATTCTTGGAAGGTTTTGAATGATCGAATTTTCAGAAAGTAGATTAGATTGTAGATAGGATATCACTCAGAGATTTTGCCCACATGTGGCGATGATTTTTTTATGTGGGTTTTGAAGTTTCCTATAGGCGCAAGCTCCTATGGTTAATTACCTCACCTAATAACGGGAGAGCACTTTCGATTAAGGCTGGTCATTAAGAATTGAAAAGTGAACTTATAGTAGCAGTACAATTAAGATTTAATTTGTAGAATTCATGACTAGAAGCTTAAAGCGGATGAAGGGGTAATGAAGACGAAACGGATCAAGATCCCATGGTTCTGTCATCCTTGGTGATCGCGATCTCCGATCAACTTAGTCAGAGGAGGTATTCGACCTGGCTTGATAAAAGAACTCTTGTCAGCATCCAAGACTTGAGTTGTCCAAGATATCTTTGTATACCTAAGGTGTCTGTTTGTCTAAGGGGACAAATTTTGGTTGACCTTACCTAACATAAAGTTTTGTGCCAATCAATTGTATTTTTATGATTCACAACTCAATAGTAAAAAGCCGTTGGGAACATACAGGCTGCTGTCGTGACAGTAAGATAATGATGCCATTTGACGACAACCACCTGATCAGAGGACTCTAGTCATAACCACTATTTTGTGGTATCGTTTGGTGGCAGAACCACGTGGACAGACTTGGGGCACGTACTTACTGACATGCAATTACTTTGATTATGAATATATAGATACATTTGATATAACTTCACTCTTTGTGAGCTGAAGTTAATAAAAAAAATGTCACCCTCGACAAACTGCTATGGAGGGAGAATGAATTTTGCTTTTAGCTTTCAAGTGATTGAATTTTGCTTTACATATTAATTAGGTACTTTGAAAAGCTTTTTTTAAAGATTAACCACTTTGGTTGAAATCTTAGATCAGCACGATCATCATCAAGGTAATTAAACATTTAAAGTATTTATATTTGAAGAGGGGAACTTAATTTTGTTAGTTTAAAATTTTCAAAATATAAGTCATGTCAACTCCTATCTTTATGGTTAGGAGGATTAGACTAGGTGATTGGGACTTATAAATTTTAATATTTAAGATTTGGACATTTATTAAATTTAATAGACTTGTTGACTCCAGTCATTACAAGAGGAGGATCTGACTAGTTGATTTGAACAATTAAATTTACAAAGGGAAAACAAACGACGAAGCAGGTGAAAGATTCCCATGAATATAAAAGTAGTGAAGCTTAAGAGATTTATGATAGAGAAAAACAACGATGTAAGCACAAGGAAAATTGGGCTTTCTGCGGTTGAGTAGTACACAAAGACAGGGTTTCAAATGAAGGAAAGGAGATGAACAAGAGGAAGAAACAAGGAAAAACGGGTAAAAAATTTACCGTTTGGTTGTGTGACTTTCGAACAAGAGGAAGCAAACGAAAGAAGAATTGTGGCTTTTGAATTGGAGAAAGTAAATGAATGAAGAGGAAGACATGGTACCAGACATCGACTTGTGTGAATGAATTAGTAAGTTACGGGAGAAGCACCTTTGCTTCGAACAGAAGCGCAAACACTTAATTGGGATGAGAGTGGAAGCAAATAACTTAATAATAATTAAATTTAATTAAATCACATTAAATCTAATTAATAATATTAATTATTTTTAATACATTTTCAATGTCAATAAGCGGATTTAACGAATTTATAATTTTTCGGATATATAAATCCTAAATTTAATTTGGAGTCTTTAGAAAATGACAACGATAAAATTATTTACATAAAAATATTCATTTCTTCAAAAGAAGTAACAACTTATTGAATGAAATCTAAGAAAACATACATCTCATCTTCATCAAATGCATCATGCAAATGCTCTTGGATTGCAAATGCTCGAAGATAGGGCTGCTGTCTCCCATAATAGCCTATGAATACGGCTCCCCCCTTCGCGTCTTTTGAGAAGATACCATAAGTTTTGGTCAGTCAATCCTATCAAAATGGAGTCGCTAGAAAATGACAATAATAGACTAAATTTTCGCATGAAAATATACATTTTTATAAGAGAAGTCAAAGCCTTACATTGAATGCATTCTAATAAAACATACAAGCTTGTCTCCATCAAATGCACCAAGCAAATGCATATGGAATGCTATTTTTAGGCGATTTTGTTAAACTATTCATATTCTGTTAATCCCATCACCATTTCCAATTGTAAATTCAAATTGTTTGGATTCAATCACAATTTAAGATGATTTGTAAATTTAAAAAGTTGTTGCAATTTCACTATTTTTCAGTATCATAACCTTCAATACTTTGTTAGAAAAATTAGATTTTTGAGATATTAATAATTGAGGATCATGAAGAGCTAAAAAAGATAGATTCCATAAAATTATTGCACATTTATTACTTTCTTAATTTCACATTTCATTAAAAAAAGGAAAAATAAATACTGAAAAGACATGCACTGAAATTGTTGCAGAGATTAAAATACTTTTTATTTTTATTTTTTTGATTTTGAAAATGGAATTTGAAACACTGGTTCAGCAAAATTTTGTACACAGTGTATAGCTTGGATTCAGGACATGGAGGAAATTGTAGAGAGGCTTTTAAGTCATTTGGGTTTCATAAAGCTCCGAAGGCCGTGCGGTCCCAGAATTGTCAGTCAGCGCGAATGTGGAGCTCAGTGCTTGCTGAAGCTGACTTTCCCTTTTTACCCCCAAGTTTAAGCACAGTGACCATCATACCCTCGCATGCTTCTACTGAAGAAGCAGTCCACGGCTCCCAAATCGCAGGGTGAAGAAGGAAAAAGCTTTCTGCTTCTTCTTCTTCCACTCACAAGTCACAAATCCTTCAACTTTTCAGCAAAAATCATATTTTGCGCAGCAGAGCGAGCGGCGCGCGTCAGCGCAGGCCATGGGGATGGTGGCACGAGCTAGCGTCCTTACTGAGGCGGCGGTGGTGTTGATATGCTTCGGGTTATGGTTCGCCGGAGCGCTACCGGCAGCCGCTGGAGAATTGGAGCAGCGGTTGTCTGTGGGGAAGCACTTAAGAAGGCTCAACAAGCCTTCCGTGAAGAGCATTCAGGTCTCTTTTTCCAATTTCCTCTCCTGTGAACGACACTACAGTATCATCCTAGTTTTTTTTTCTTTCCTGGAATCTTTATTTTTCGCATTCAAGTTCTGATTTATGTTTTTCTGAACTTTTTTGAACCAAAAATGGTGATTGGGGGATGTGGAAATGTTTTGCCTTCTTTTCCTCCTTTTCTGTGCTCACACTAAAAAAGTTGTCTTTTTTAATTCTAAAAAAGAGGAAAAGATTATATAAAATCATTGTTATGCATGTAAATATGTAATCGCTTTGATTTAAATTGATATATCAGGGATCTGTCATTTGTCTCGCTTGTTTTAATGCAATATTTTAATCCCTTAAAGTGCTCATTGAGTGCTAAACTTATTTTTTCATTCTGTAAATGCTGTAGAGTTCTGATGGAGATATCATAGATTGTGTAAAGATAGCTGATCAGCCAGCATTTGATCATCCTTTCCTCAAAAACCACACAATTCAGGTCTCCCTCTTTCTCTTTTTCTCTGTTTTTCAGCTCACATATAGAAGCTCTATAATTTTTTTTACTTATTTTATGCTAAAATTTGATAAAAATTCCTTCTTTTTCAGCTGAGGCCTGCCTTCCATCCTGAAGGACTTTATGATGAGAGAAAGGTGGCTTCAGATCAGAGCAACAATGGAGCCCATAGTATAGCGCAGCTGTGGCATCAGAGTGGGAGATGCCCTAAGGGCACAGTACCCATAAGGAGAACAAGGAGAGAAGACATCCTTAGAGCTAGCTCAGTGAAAAGATATGGAAAAAAGAAGCAAAGGAGCGTTCCGAGACCCTTTTTGGCAGAACCTGATTTCATCAGTGAGGGTGGCCATCAAGTATATGTCTTAGAACCATGCAAAAATTCCATTTTTTTTCCACTTCTTTTTTTTATAATTAGATTTTTTTTATCCTATTTATGTTTATAAGCAGTAGACTGGTATAAATTATCATGATGTGAAGCATTATATCTTATAAAGTAGTAGGCTACAAAAGGATGGTTTGAATTAATGATGATAGATATTGAAAATTCAAGTGAAGTTAATTAGCTTGAATTTCTGGTTGCATGGAATGTTAACCTATGTTTGAAACAAGTGAGAAAAAAAAGAAGGCATCTTTGTAATAAAGTTGATTCCTTTTAATAGTTTTCTTTTTCCATTTCAAACCTTTCTTCTCTTTTTAGATTCCTTTCTTCTTTTATGTTATGCAGCATGCAATTGCCTATGTAAATGGGGATAAATATTATGGAGCAAAGGCGATAATTAATGTATGGGAACCAAATATTCAATTGCCCAATGAGTTCAGCCTCTCCCAACTTTGGATCTTGGGAGGTTCCTTTGGTGAAGATCTCAATAGTATTGAAGCAGGCTGGCTGGTAGAATCTCTATGATGCTTTCATCCATAGGCATAGAGAAAAAAAAAATAGTAATTTTTCTTCCCACTTATTTGAAAAATAGATCTTTCAACTAAAATATTGAATCTCTTTTTCTAAAATAGGTCAGTCCAGAGCTCTATGGAGATAATAATACCAGACTTTTCATTTACTGGACTGTGAGTAAACAAACTCCCCAATGCTTTTTCTTTTTTTTTTTTTCTCAGTATTTTCATGTTTTCTTTTTATAGGACACATATCTAACATCTACACTTTCATATTTATATTTATAACTCTAAAAAATTTAACATCACATAAAAAACACCACTGTTCTTAGCTTGTTAAAAGTGAAATACATGTTTTCAAACATGGCTTTATGATACCAAAATGTTGCAGTGTAAATATTCTACATTGGGCATTAGCATGCAAATACATAAAAATTTTTTCCCTTTTTTAATTAACTAATCTTTATTGAAATGACAGAGTGATTCTTATCAAGCAACTGGCTGCTACAACTTGCTGTGCTCTGGTTTTATCCAGATCAGCAGTGAGATAGCTATGGGGGCCAGCATCTATCCTGTATCTGAGTATAGTGGCTCACAATATGATATCAGTATACTTGTATGGAAGGTAGGTACAAGGCACATCACTGTCTTATATAAAAAAAATAATTCTGACACAACCAGAAATCAGAGAAAGAATCTTTGAATAATGTGTTTGTTTTCAACCTTTTGCCAGAAAAATAAATCCTAAACTGCTAGAAATCAAATATAGAATCATTGACTCTATTAAGAAGCACATGGGAGTGAAACAAAGGCTCAATTTTGAGCATATTGGTAGTGGTCTTTGTCAATCAGTTTAGGCTTTTGGGTTGATCGGTGTCCCCTCTTATTAAGTGGTATCAAAGCCAATGATATTGTCTGTGATATAATTTTGTGTTCTTTGTGGCTCTCATGAAACTTCGCATCTTCAATAATGTTCGGGTAAGGTTCAAACGCGGGTGAATTTTGATGTTGGTTTGGCGTGCTTGGGTGGACTTACTTTTGATGCTTGATATTTAATAGCTTGAAAGTCTTTGGTTTATGTGGGAGTTTTGATAGAAAGTCTCCTTGTGATGGCTAGAGTCGTTTTGATGCACATGAGAGTGAAGAATTGTCCTATATAAAGTTGTATTAAGTTCCTAATAAATGAGAGTATGGGTCTGTTTTGGGTGATTGCTGTTTTTTGTAAAAACGTTTGTAAAGTTGTGAGGAGGAATATAACTTTTTAAAAACCAACCGGTGAGAATTATATATATATATATATTTTAAAAAGTAGAATAACAACCTTCTTGCAGTCACTACACTTTAATAAACTTGGTTGCAAAAAATAGCTTTACATCACAAAATTTTTTATAATGCAACAAGAAAAGAATTTCACATTCAAAAATGTGGTGGAGGTCTGAAACACTAAGTAGACAAAAAATTATACCAAACCGATCCTCCATTTCTCTTGTGAAAGTGAAGTAGTAGTAAAATAAATTCTGCAAGGCACTATGATGCCTTTGTTGTTAGATGTACTCTAACTACTAATTTCTAACTATTATAATTTAATTCGATCTAAAGCCCAAAAATGAAAAAAAAAAAGGTAAAAAAAATCTACTCGACCATCTTCAAGCTAAACACAAACACGAATTGACATGTAAAAACTAAACTTTACATTCAATTTTCACCAAACCAAACAAGTCCTCACATACAACGTCTCTCCTATTCCTCCCTTTCCCTCTCCGACCACCGAGAAAGACTAACTGCATCACAAATTCTTCAGGACCCAAAGGAAGGCAACTGGTGGATGCAATTCGGAAGCGATAACATTATGGGCTACTGGCCTTCATTCCTCTTCTCCTACCTATCCGACAGTGCCTCCACTGTCGAATGGGGAGGAGAAGTGATCAACTCTGAACCAGATGGACGGCACACCGCCACCCACATGGGAAGCGGCCATTTTCCTGAAGAAGGATTCGGCAAAGCGAGTTACTTCAAGAAGCTCCAAATAGTCGACGCATCTAATAATCTGAGTCCACCTAGATCGATCAGCACATTCACTGAGCAGTCAAACTGCTATGATGTTCAGTATGACAGTAATGGTGATTGGGGGAGTTATTTCTATTTTGGTGGACCTGGAAGAAATCCCAATTGCCAGTAGAAAAATCCTTCCTTTGAGCACACTGCTTGTTTTTTTTATTTGAATCTTATGATCTCCATGTAAAGTGGTTGGAGATAAAGTTTTCTTTTTTTTTCTTAATGGCTGGTTCTCCTTTCTTCTAGTGATTTGTGCAGATGTGTTGATGATTTTATGAGATTTCAGCATCTTTGTAATTGGGATTGGAACTGTTGTGTAAGTTTAAAGGTATTTAAAAGTGAGTAGGTGAATTTTGTTATATTTATGTTTTAGATTTATGAATGGGATTACATGTGGAGTAGTTGTTGTTGACTGTTTGGTAGGGTTCCATGAAGCTGGATTGTGAGATAAATCTTCGAGTTGGATTGGCAACTTTTGCATGGGAATTTAAATAATTAAAGATTTGCATTAGCAACCTCATAATCTTTACAAATTAAATATTAGATATTTTTTATTTTTTATTTTTTCTCTTAGAAATCTAATGAAGGTTAGTGAGAGGAGTTTGGTTAGAGCTCATTTATGATTGTTTAATTAATTAATTATGAATGAATTTTAACACCTCTTTAAATATTGTGATTGATAAATGGATAAATTTGAATAATTTGATGTTTGATTCTATTATGATAAAAAATAATGTTATTTAAATCTTTCGAACAAGGTCATTCATAAGTTCAATCATATTCATTTATTGCTTGATTTTAACTTTATTTCGTGTTTATATATATATATATATATATACAAGTGTCTTAGCTTGTTCTTTTATATTTAAATTGTTTTTATTTATGAACACAAACGGTTTGTTTAAACACATTGAAATGCTTTCTTAATAGTAATTCATTTGATAAAAGCATTATATTTTAAGCTCAATATAATACTTAATAATTTAATAATGTACTCAATAGAGCGCATTCAATTTACTAATAAGTTGCTCGAGAATGTTAAATGTTAAGAAGAATAACTTGTTTAGATTATCAATCAAGATCAAATTATTGTAATTTTAAATGAATCGGTTTGAACACTACTACAAATATTGGAATCAAGCACTAGCTTGAACTCCAACAATATCTTAGCTAGCAAGCTCAAGCTCAAGCTCAACAAAATGAGCTCTAAATTAGTGTGCAATCATTAATATCATTATTGGGAAGATTAATTTTATTTTGATAAGTTTATTTATTTTATTTGAAGTATGTTGACCTCACTTTTGTGAGGATCTCTTCTCTCTATAGAACCCTAAGAAATAGCCTTAGGGTTTCTTGGTGACCTTCTTAGATGCCTAAAGATGGAACTCACTCATATAGAACTTCTAACCAATTCATCATTCACTTAGGGTTTCATGAGGTTAAAGCCAAAACCTCAACTATTGGTTGATATGATGAGAGTTGAAACTGATAGAAGCCCAAGTTGAATCCCTATAGGTGGAGGATGTCATTGGCAACCCGTGGAGCCTAGAGTCCTAGGAACCCCTATGATGACTTACTGACCACCCCTAAAACCCTCTTTGACCTAGAAGAAGCACATTGGGCATGAGGCTAATTTTAGGCCAGATAAGGGTTTACCCTTTGTACCAAAACCCAAAACTGAAATAAGAAAATCCTAACATCAAAAATTTAAATCAAAAGACAATTAGACCACCAAAGACTAGTCCACCTGAGCCCATACCAAAAACACTAAGATTATCAAGTTTAGCTTAAATCAAACCTAATTACAAAAAATGGAATAATAAATCAAATTGCTTAGCCTAATTTGTTAGATTAATTAATCCTAAGGGGGTTAAATGGTAGGCCCAACCATCCAAAAACAAGCCTACCATTCAAGGCCCAAACTTAAGCCCAAGCCTTGTACCCCTAAAAGGCAAACTCATGACTCACATGACCCAAATAATCTCTCATGACACTACAAACCAAATAAGAAGTAATTTAAAGTAAATTAAACACAAAACAAACACTAAAAGACAAACCATGCTCACTTAACTATGTGAGCCACCAAGTGTCAACTTGGTCAAACCAACCCAAGTCAAACTCAAAGGGAGTCATGGGTGACCAAAATGAGTTAAACCATCAAATCCAAGCCTTCCCCAATCCTCTCAAGCCTTGGTCATGCCTCCTCCATCACCATTAGAGCTCACCATGGTCAAAACTTCAAAAATGGAAAAACCTTCCATCTCTCAACCCAAGCTCCTGAAATCTCTCTGATCATCTTTTGAGGAGCCACCGGAAATCCACAAGCACCTTAGAGCTTCCCTCCACGACCTCCCATTGCTATAAAATAGCCCCAACCCGATTCTACACACACACTAAGCTCCCAACCAACCTTCCAAATCCTGAACTCCCAACAACTAAAACATTTCCACAGTCAAGAGCGAACCATGCCCACCATTTTCAAGCCTCCATATCACCCCTATTGCCCTAATTCCTCCAAAAAAATCCAGGGACATTACAACCTTGACATCAAACCCATCCTAACTCCCACTAAGCATTTCAAAAGCTTCATAGAGGCCCAAAATCTATACCTCAATAGAAAATAGACCTTCCCGCACCCCTACCATATCCCTAGATCAGACTGTGGCCCCATTTGGTCTAGCTCATAGCTATGACCAATTTCAATCCAAATTGAAGCAAGTGGAAGCTTCGTGGCATCAAGACAACCGTTTCCATCAACCCCAATCGAGGCTTCACCTCTTGGGACAAGGTATGGGTTCAAAACTCCTAAATTAAGCCTTGATTTGGTTTTTTATGAAGAAAATGAATAATGCATGCCCACTTAACCATATTGATAGGTTTGTCTCACTTAGATGAAGTTATAGGATCAAACCCCATGCAATTTGGTTGAGTGTGGAGCAAGATTTTAGGGTTTAAGTGTGAACTGTCCTCTGTTCCTTATCCTATGGGGACGATGAATGGATGTTGTCCATTTTGGTGTATTTGAAATCGATGGCGGAGATCAAACCGGATGGACTGCAAGAACAGATCAACATAGTGGATCGCAGGCCATCTCTGTGCACACGCGGAAACAACAGCGAACAACATAGCACCATGTGGAGTTCCGGAGCATGCTAGGGATAACATGTCGCCGACGTGTATAAGTGTGATATTAAGATTTTTCTAAATTAATTAAATCCAAAAAATGTTTATAAACTTTAAAAATTCATAACTTAATAAATAAAATCATAAAAATAATAATAATAAAAACTTCGAACTCCGTGAACAGAGGAGAAAATAATGAAATTAAAAAAATAAGATAATAAATTATATTTAATTTTTAATTAATTAAATATCTCAGAATGCATTTTAATTATAAAAACTTAAATATAAATAAAAAAAATATATTAAATTTTTAGGGATTATTTCCTCTATCATTGAGGATGTTCCCTGATTTTTCTAAAGTCAGGGGACCTCCCTAACACAAAAATATTTAAACTCCTATCAAAACCATACTTGTTTTGAAAAATAATTATAAAAAAAAATAAAATAAACATATGAAAAATATAATTTAAAATGAAAATAAAAAAAATTAGGGCAATAATCTTGACATTAAAATTACCATTTTCACATCTGAAAATTTTAAAACGAAATAAAAAACTTAAGGATAAAACAATAAAATTGCAAACTTTGCATTTTAGCCCAAATTATTTCCTAAATATATATCAAACACAAAAATTAACTTAAGAAAATCTTAGGATTACATCCTAATGAAAATTTTAAAGAAAGTTAATTTCATGATTATTCCATGAATCATGAAAGTGCCTTAATAATTAAACCCTAAAATTAGTTCACTTCTAACCCAACTTAGACCTAATTTTAAACCAAATTTAAAATTTAACTTGGGTCAAACCCAAACCTAACTCAACCCAAATTTAAAACTTAACTTGGGGGTCTAATCTAAATTAGACCTAACTCAACTCAAACTTTAATTAAGCTTGGGCCTAACATATCTTAAACCTAACTCAACTAAAACTTTAATCTTAACTTAGGTCTAACCCAACTTGGACCTAATCCAAACTTAACCTAAAATTCAACTCAATTTTAACCCAACTTAGACTTGACTCAGCCAAATTCTATGCTTGACCTAACTCAACCCAACTTTAATCTTAACTTAGACTTGAATTAACCAAGTTTTAAACTTAACTTAGACCCGACTCAACTCAAAGTAAACTTAAACAATCCTCGGTCAACCCAACCTAACATGGGCTAACCCAAATCAAACTTAAAACCTGGGTCAACACGGCCTAACCTAAACTAACCAAAATCAAACTCAAAGCAAACCTAGGTCAACTGGGTCTAACTTAGGCTAACCCAAATCAAACTTAAAACCTGGGACAGCACGACCTAACTTGGCTAACCCAAATTAAACTTAAAGCAAACATGGGTCAACCCGATCTAACTTAGGCCAACTCAAATCAAACATAAGCAAACCTGGGTCTAAATCCATCAAACTTGGGCCAACCCAGATAAACTTAAACCAATTTGAGCTAACCTAAGTTAACATGAACCAAACTCAAAATTGATAAAAGTAAATCAAGTTAAGGAGTGTTTGACCTCTCATAATAGAATAAAAGCACACTTAACTTAAAAATGCACTCCATAGATAATATGTGCTGAAATGCAAAGTTTGTAATAAACATAAATGACATAATATAAAACACACTGTAAATACTTAAAACTACAAAGCACAACCCGGTTTGAGAAGTAATTTTGGATGAGACAACTCATGACTGCTAACGAAGTACCTTTTAGTCACTCGTGATTAATCAAACCACAAATCCAACGACCCCGGGAGGATGGAACCATGGGATCTTGATCAGGTCATTTCAACATTAAAAATAAAATAAAATCACAAAAAATTAATCAGCTAAAAAGTCTTAAGCAACTGAAAATCTTCAACCCCACTAAAAATCCAAAAAATACACTAAAACTTAAAATGAAATCATAATGAACAAAGATCATCGAACACAATTTTAACCCTACTACCTGGATCTACGAAGATCTTGTGGATGACACAACTCATTATTTTTTACAAGAATCTTCAGGTTGGAGTAGGCTTGACCACCTCACCGGACTAAGCAGATCATGGAACCCAACAACCCTGAGAAGACAGAAAACCATGGACATCCTGCCTGAGTTGTCTCGAATAAAAAGAATAATAATTAACACATTAATGATCAAAATAAAAACATTTATTTTTATTACAATGAAGCATTCTAACTTTGTTTTGCAGGGTTAATAAAGAGAAAATTCAAAATGCTGCCTTAGACTTAGTTTACATGTTATTAGAGTG